ACCTGGGGTTTTATGACGCGCAGATTTATTGATTGTAAATTCGACTTCACTGGGTCTTATATGTTTTGGCGGAAGGGTCATAGGTAGTGGACTGGATAGGAAGTGGTCGACTTCAACTATTTTATTACGGGGTATGATGTCAATATGTGGCTGGAACGTTGTGTGTAGGTGATGACGAAAAGCATTAGCTTTTTCTGAGTCACTGATAAGCCATGTTCCGTCAGGGTTTCTCAGGGGGGGTACTGGTGGTTGAGAGCGGAGAATTTTTCTGGTGTTTTGCCAAAGAGAATTGTCGGTGGTGGAAAGGGATGCGAGATGGTTTGTTAAGTTATCGGATTTGATTTTAGCTAGGATTCTTTTGAGTTTATTGGTGAGGTGATTAAATAGTCGTTTGTCAGAGGGATATTTAGTTATTTGCCAAACAGCGCGCGCTTTTCTTTTTTCCGATATTAGAGTTCTGACAAAATGTGGAAGATGAGAGGTGGGTTTATTAAATGGGTTAGGAATAGTGGAGGAGGACCAAGCTGCTTGTTGAATTGATGTTGTGAGGGTGTGAACAGCGTCGTCTATGTCTTGAGTTGATTTTAGTCTAGTTTTGAGATCTATACGGTTAACGAGTTGGGTTCTGAAGGTTATCCCAGTCCATACGACCTTGAGTGAGACTAGGTTTGTTCGGCTTTTTAGAGGCAGCGGTGTCTATTGTGAGAAGGACTGCCGAGTGATCAGAGCATAGATCGTCGAGGTTAGTTAATGTATTGTGAAGGCTGTTTGGGATTTTCGTGACAAATATATCTAGAATGTCTGGTCTTTTTCTTAGGGATGTGGGCCAATAGGTCGGAGAAGGAGGAGCGTGAATTTTGTAATTATTTTGTTGCGATAGGTTATGTAGGGTGTTACCGCGAGGGTTGTTGGTGCGACAGCCCCATTGTATGTTTTTCGCGTTTAGATCGCCTCCAATTATAAATCTTTGGCCTAGTGTATTAAAGAAGTGCTGGAAGAGAGTTGGTGTTATGGAATGACGGGGCGGGCTGTATATGGCATAGATATTGATGGGAATATTGTTTAATATTAGAGCAATTCCGCAGGCTTGTATATGGGCTGTTTGGTACTGAGGAAGAGGGTAGAATAATAGTGAGGTTCTTATAAAAATAGCAGCGCCAGCATGGGCGTGCCGTCTGGGTGGTTCGATTTAATAATGTGGTAACCAGGTAGGTTTATTTGTGTGGTGTTAGATAGGTGTGTTTCTGAAATAAGTGCAATATCAATTCTATTGTTTTGGAGGGTGGCCAGTAGTTCGTTTTTACGGTTAATTAGGCCATTAGAGTTCCAGGTTAAGATGAGGAGAGAGTTAGACGTAAAATTATTGGTTTGCATTTTATTTGTTTATATTATTTATGAGGTTTGTGAGGACTTGGGTGAGGAGGGATAGTAGGGGATTTATGATTGATTTAAATTCATCAAGAAATTTAGTGAGAGAGGTCTCATTATCAGTTGAGTTGGAATGGTTGTTGGGAGGGGGACCCTTAGTCGCGTTTGCATACGTACGTGGGTGCGCTGAGGAGAGGGGCTATAAAATCCAGGAAAGTTATTTACAGGAATGACAACAACGGGAAAGTAAAATATAGGAAAATAATACGAGGGAACAATAATTCGTAGGAAAATAAAAATCAGGAAAATATATGTACGGAAATAAATAACAGGAAAAATAATTTGTTGGAAAATAATAACCAGGAAAATATTACAATTGAAAAACTTTACTGGTAAATTATAAATCAGGAAAATATAATTCAGGAAATTATTTCGTAGGAATTTAAAACACAGGAAAATAAAAAACGGGAAAATAATTTATAGGAATTTAAAAATCAGGAAAATATTTATACCGGAAAATACCTAATACACAGAAATTTCAAAACCGGGAAATATCAGTGAAGTAGAAGTACTGTATAGGCAATTTCTTGATACATTTGTATTTTATACTACGTGATTAGATGTATTTATCATTATGTAATATTATGTATCACAAGGGGGGTTCAACCCCTCCCTTGGACACTTTATAAATATAATAATATATTATGTACTTAATAATAATTATAATAATTTATTGGGAAAAAATCTAGTTCAGTGTCCACTCGAATTTTAGATTCTGAGTGAAACGATGAATGTATTGATTTTAAGTCTCCTAGTATATTGTTTCAAAGGCAGATGAAAAATATTAAAAATCCTTAGTCACAGTTTTTTTTTTATAAGCATTTAAAGTTCAAAAATTAACAAAATATGGAAAAATCAAGAAAACTAGCAAATTATTTTGAGTTAAGAATTGGTAAAAATTTTTCTTTTTAAATCTAAGGTTTTAAAATGTAATACAAGATTCCTTATAATATTATCTACCTTTATCAAAAAACAAATGTCTATAAGAAAGTCAAATTACATTTTTATGACCGTTTTAAATTCAAATTTTTACAACATTAGATATTCACTCGATTTCTCATGTAGCGATTTCCTTATTTTGTTGTAATTCAAAAACGAATAACTGTAGATACATGAACATTTCACTGAATGTTTATATTAGAATTTCCTATACACCATACAATTTTGAAAATATTTTGACTCTTTTTGAGCTGTTTACGGATATTTTCATTTTTCAATTTTTTTAGTTTTTTTTTTTTGAATATCAATAAAGTTTTATCTGTTGGGCCAAAAAGTGTAAAAATTGAATACAAGGCTCCTGGTATATTGTTACAATATCAGTTGAATAATATAAAAAATACATGGACACAATTTTTTTTTATAAGCATTTAAACATCGAATTTTGACAGAATTTTTCAAAATCTCGAAAATTATTAACCATCGTAATTAATAAATTATAAAATGTTCAGTTTTTATAGCTAAGGATTGAAAATTTAAAACAAGATTCCACGTAAGTAGTTAATTCTCTTACCGAAAGATCTAAAAAATATACAATCACAGTTTATTTTTATAGTCATTTTATGTTCAAATAAGGACGAAATTACATATTAAAAAACCTAGTTATTTTATTGTGATTATATAATATTATTCGTGGGTACCTACTTGAAACTTCTAAAGTGTACTATATTATATATCTATGATAGTATTAGGGTTTGTTATTGATGTTGATGTATAACGTGTTATAAGTACCTAATGGATATTATGATAATGTGATATGATTAATTTGGAATTTATTATAGGTCAATTTTTTTTTTAATACCATAGATATGTATATAATTTGTCTTAAACCTAGACTGACATACCGTCTTCGCTCAGAATCGTTTTTCTTATACAATGATATTGTATCATTGAATTCAAATTTAATAGCATCCATTATACAGTGACCCACTTGTAACCTACTGTACAGCAGAGCGACATCCACTTACCCACCTTTTTATATCTAAGGATTGAAAATTTAAAAAAAGATTCCACGTAAGTAGTGTATTCAGTTACCAAAAAATCTAAACCATATATTATAAGCACAGTTTATTTTTATAGTCATTTTAAGTTCAAATTTGGACGAAATTAACTAGAATAACTATTTTAGTTATTTTGTTGTGATTGTATAATATTATTTAAAACTTGGTATTTGAAATTTCTAAAGTACCTACACTATTGTATATCTATGATAGTATCAGGGTTTGATGTTGATGTATAACGCGTTATAAGTACCTAATGGATATTGTGATATGATTAATTTGGAATTTATTATAGGTCAATTTTTTTAATACCATAGATAAATATAATATAATATGTCTTATACCTAGACTGATATATCGTCTCCGCTCAGAATCGTTTTTCTTATACAATGATATTTTATCATTGAATTCAAATTTAATAGCATCCATTATACAGTGACCCACTTGTAACCTACTGTACAGCAGAGCACCTTTTTCAATTTTATTTTGTTTTAGTACGTTCCTATGTAGTTAAGCATGCTGAAAACGATAGGGAAGTCTAAATTTGGCGGACAGACTTAGTTTAAAGTTATAGCTAGGTAATTAAAATTTTTGGTATTTTCATATACATCTGGTGTGGTCCCTCGCTCTTTGCGATCGCTCGGACAATTAACTTCTAAACATCCCGCGCATGGGCGTCCCCAGGGGGGGACAAGACGGGGCACTTGTCCCCCCCTGGAATAATGTTATTTCCACAGAAATTGGTAAAATTCCAAATGATAAATTAGTTTCTAAAAATAGGTCTACTAAGTTTCTATAACATATTATGTCAAGCGTTATTTTTTCATTGTTCTAATCACAGGTTAAATTTAGTTATAAATGATTCAAATAAAATAATGATTATTCGTAATACTACTGGAACTATAAAAAATATTATATGATTTTTCCGTGAAAGTACGCTTAGAAGAAAACTTATCCCTAACATACCTACCACTATTTTGTGAAACACGCTGGTCGTCTAAATATAAGAGTATAAGAGTATTTTCAAAACATTTTATTTCAATAATGACAAGTTTGAAATCATTATCAAATAATGAAGTACATTCAAATTCCAATACAAGGCAACGAGCTCATTACTTATATTCTGCGGCCTCAAATTCATCATTATTAATTTCTATGATTATTATGGCAAAATACAGTGCTATTTTAGAACCTGTGACAAATATGTTACAAGGCGTCTCATACTCTCAGTAGATCTAATAAAGTCAGATAGATAAAGTCAGCGAGCATTATTAATTTATTACTAATATTGTTCGATATGACGCTGATAACATTTTCCAAACATTATTTAACGAAGCGAAATCAATCGCCATTGATTTAGATATTGTCATTACACGTTCAAGAACGGTAAAGAAACAGTCACTAAGAGCGAACTATGAAACTGAGAGTTGTGAAGATTATTACCGAGTTTCAATTTTTATACCATATATTAATTCAATTTTACAATATATAAAAGAAATTTTTGATATAAAAAATGATAATACATTTTTACTACAATATCTTCACCCCAACATTTTTAAAAAATTGGAGAAAAAAATGTATTTTGAAAGCATTGAAAAAATTGCTGATTTCTATAAAATTGATAATCTCCAAGCTGAAGCGGGAAGTTGGTACAGTTTTTGGCAAAATAAGGACTGCCAAGATATTTATTTTATCGATTTGTTAAACTGTAACTGTACGTTTTTTCCTAATATAGCTGTTGCTTTGGAAATATTTTTGTCTCTTCCGGCTACAAGCTGTACAGGAGAACGTTCTTTTAATACATTAAGGCGTGTTAAAACATGGTTACGATCAACGATGAGTGATGTTAGACTGAATGGAATATGCATGTTGAGTGTTCATACTTCATAGAGAAAAAGTAAATTCAAATAAAGAAAAATTTATTGAAAATGCACTGACACAATTTGGTAGAGAATGTCCACGGAGATTGAAATTTATATTTAATGAAAAAGAATGATGTATAATAATATTTTTTAATGTTTTAATTGTAATAATAAAACTTACCTAATTGTAATGTTTTAATTCATAATTTTAATAATGACGAAATATAATAATTTAGTGGCATTTACTATAAATAAAATGTATAGAAAAATTTTCATTTATTTTTTAAATTAATTTTGCCCCCCCCCCCCCTAGAAAAATGTCTGGGGACGCCTATGATCCCTCGACTTGTTATATAAAACCACTATGGGTGTGTCAAAATTATTTTTGCCAAAAAAATTTTTAAAACCATTATTTAGCTAGGTTTCATAAAAAAAAAAAATTAAATTTCGTTATATCTAAGCGTTGTAGGTACGTATGTGCGCAAAACACCGATAATCGTGAACTTCGTTTACGGAGGCTACACCATAAGACTACACCATAAAAACTAATTATTTCTGGCAATTAATGTAAGCACCGTCGTTCTTAACTGGTTTAATGCATAGATGTCGGACAAACAAATTTAAAAATTGTGGGTGCTATACTAGATTTAGAACACTAAATTGAAGTACCCCCCCCCCCCATCCAAAATTCCTAAGCACGCCACTGATGTATCATACTATATTACTATCATCTATCTGTAATCTGTATCAGATTATTATTAACCATAGTATCTATATCCGTGTTTCGCGAAGTAATTCATATCTATTTTTAAAGTATGATTTCCAATATTTTGTTTATTTTTGTTATTATGATGAACATGAATAGACATGCATGAACAATATATTATAATAATAGTACAAGGGGGGTATTAAACTAATAAACTAATAAATAATAATAGTATGACACACAAATTCACGATTATCATAAACGTCAAGAGTGCAAGACAGAAGACACGTCGTGTAGTATTTTCAATTTTGTACTTGACTCGTTTATAACTTGTTCTTAACTTTTTTATAACTTAGTAAGACTCATAAGTTGTATACCTATTTGTATTTACTTGTAAGTTATTGAAGTGGCATTTAAAATAACATTCATCAATCAATTAAAGTCTTAATACTCATTTTCACAATGAATCCAATAGAGCATGATGATTTTCGTTATAAGTACAATGGCGGTGTTAAAAATGGTGTTCGGTAAGTTTATTTTACTAATATTACTACCTACTTACTAGATTACCTATTACTTATTACTTATTAGATATTATTTGAAATGTAATATAAAAACAATTTCAGTTTTGACTATTGAATTTTCTTAATAAAGAAATCAATACATGTATCTGGGTGCTTAAGAACTATTTTTTAAGTCACTTACGATACACTAATCTGTACAACATATTTACAATTTTTAAATCCACCAGTCAATAATTATATAATAAATAGATTATACTAGGTAGGTACAATAGGTACCATATTATGATTTTTTCAACATAGGTTTGCATGCATATTTTGATTTAAGAAACGCATATTTTGTTAATATAATTAAATTCAAATTTGAATATTTTGTGTTTTTATTATGCAAAAAACTGAACCTTAAAATACTCGTACTTTTTAGTAGGTGCATTTAAAATGATATAGGCGCCTGCTATTTAATAATGTATAATATATTACACAACATAGGGTGGAGTCGACCCCTTAAGAATTTTTTTTAATTTAATTTATTCTATCTACGGTCATTGAAAAATATTGAAAATTGAACCATAAATTCAGAAGTTCACTATAATAATTGGCTTAAATTTCAAAGTCTTAAGAACATTGTATGAGACATTTTTATTAATATTTTAAAATTGTATTTTTCCCTTATATGGCCACTGTAAAAATATTAATTGTTATTTTATTAAAAAATTAATTATTAATACATATATAACAGGAACTTTTATTTTCCAAAAACAAATTATGAAAATAAAAACAAACTAGTTATTTATGAGTATCTACCTATACTTAACATTTTGATAACTTATAAAAAAATTTTAATCCAATATTAAATATCTGAACAAATATATAAATAAAATGACCAATTTTTTAACAAAATTATTATGAAAACTAATACAAATTCAATATGATCTCCATCAGAATATTATGTACAGCATTTTTTTTTTACCTACAGGCTTACATTTTACTAGTACATAGTCACCAGATTTTAAGTCTTGCTGCAAATTAAAAACAACTAAATATGTGGATTACACTGAATTTAACTTACTTCAATGTACAGAAACAAACATAAATTTATAATTCCAACTAACCTTTTTTTATATTATGAATTTTAAAATGTAATTTGTTAATAATTGTTTATTATTTGTTTATATTGTTAGTTATTTGGTATGCAGTAATCAGTTTTGTAAAGGTACAGCAAAACGTTTATCTGATGGCACAATCAAAGCCCAAATAGGGCATTCACACGTGGCAAACATCTTTATTTGATCACTTGTCTAATGCATTATACTATTAGGTATAGCTTTATTGGTTTAGGAGGTTGATCCTCTAAACAATTGCTTGCCAATGTAAGATACAAATTACTTTAATGTTGTCATCAGGGGCGATTTTACAGGGGGGTGTGGGGGGATTTGACACCCCCCGAATGTCGGCAATTATATACAGGGCTTCAAAACGTTTTCATAACGTTACGAGTATAACGTTAAACGATTCAAAAAACGATTGAAATCGATAACGGATAACATATCGGTAAACGATAAACGATTGAAATGGATAACGGATAACGGAACAGTAACGATAAACGATTGAAATGGATAACGGATAACGGAACAATAACGATAAACGATTAAAATTAATATCGAATAACGCAACAAAAAACGATTAACGATTAAAAGTTGAATCTTAACAAACATGTCAGACAACAAAGGAAATTACGAAAATATTAAAAACTATCTATAGAATATAATTAGAATTTAGTTAGTTTTGTAGAAGGGCAAATGTAAACTGGGCCCGGAGTTACCTTTTTTGTTGTAAGCTCGGCCCGACAATTTTAGGTAATAATTTAATATTAGAACTGATCGGTGTAAACTTTAGATATTAAGATATTATGAACTCATCACCTTTAACACAAGCAATTGCTTAAAGAAGGTGTCAAACAAATGTTCCTATCGCTTTATTGTACTTATTCACTTTTCGTTTGTAAATAAATAAATAAATAAATAATTCCACTCACCCCAATATATATTCCGTCATTTCAAAATTAAAAGAAGTACAAACAGAAACGTACATTAAAATCAACAGCCTAGATGGACCATTTAAATTCCAAAATATAAAAACTAAAAAAAAAAAAGAACTCTTAGAAAGAACACTTACAAAATATAAAAATAAAGAAATATCAGTGAGTGAATATGTAAAATACATGGCTTTTTACTTAAAAAACTAGATTTATATATTATTATTATACTAACATTTTTCACTCATTATTTACACTACAATTTTACTTATATATTTTTTATTGTATTTATACACATTTTTACACTTATAAATTTATATAATTACATTTATTATTATTTTATTATCAATATTAAAACATTTTTCATTTAAATAACGAATTTCATACTATATGAATAATAATATGAAAATGAAAATAATTTTTGAAGGATAATGAGAACCGCCTCCTCGTGGTGTCCTCCGGGTAATGCTAAATGTTTCTCAAAAATATTATAAGAAAAATGATGGTTTTTACACCTAAATCATTTTTACCTGAAAAAAATCGGGGCCGAGTTTACATCTAAATAATTTTGACCTGAAAAAAACCCGGGCCGAGTTTCCCATCGACCTTTTGGAAATGTTTTTTCCTCGGGCCGAGTTTACAATCTCCCTTGTAGAACTGTTGCTTGATAGGACTATAATAATAAAGTGACTTTAATATTAGGTACTAATCAAAATTAATTAAATGTACAATATGGAACTATGAAAGTTTAAAATAGCCATAAATATTTCAAAGAAATAATACGCATTAGCAATATTATATTTAGGCTTTCTTACAAAAGTGGAAAATATTTATAAATAATGTCTGGGTAAATAGTATTAAACCCGTTCAACGGGTTCTACATTTCTTAGTAATGTATTTATAAATAATTAATATTTAAAACGTTTAAACGTTAAACGGAACATTTTATAAACGTTTAAATTCTTTATAACGTTAAACGATAAATCGATCATAACGTTTAATATCATATAACGTTAAACGCTAAATCGATCATAACGTTTAATATCATAAAACGTTAAACGCTAAATTGATCATAACGTTTAATATCATATAACGTTAAACAGTAATTTGGTCATAACGTTTGATATCCATATGATATCTAAAGGCTAAAGGTATCTGCTTATTGCATATTAGCTTCAAGCTTACCTATATAACGCCCCTATTATTTTATTAGGTACCTTTAAATAGGTGCCTGTGTCCCGTATTGGTATGCCTGTTCTTATAATTAGGGAGCGGATGTTTATGCATTTATCATATTTTTTTATAATATCTAAATCAATGCGAAGTAAGATATAAATTTGTTTCATCACCTAAAGAATTCAAATTTACCAATTTAATTTTGTATATTGGTCCGATTTTTACTATTGATTGATCATATTTTTATATTCATCACAGTGGCGTAAATACCGGGTGGGCAAACGCCACGGGCCTCGGTACCAAAGGGGGCCCCAGCCCAACATACAATACCTACACTATTGCCCATTGGTTATTTCTATATTCGTCATTCGATTCAAAATTTCACAAAAATATGTATATTATTTTGATACCTGAAAAAAATAGTAGGAAATACGGACCTTATATTGGTACTATATGTTGGTATATGGTTTATACTCTAATAAATAATAATATATTATTGGAGGCCCGATTTGGGAAAAAAATATTATCTACAACGTATCTCATATCTGGAACTAATGGCTTAATAACTCAATGGCTAAAATATAGTAGAAGATGCAAAAAATCTTTGTGTTTCATGGAAAATACCTTTCAACTTCAATCGTAAACGTGAAAGATTTGCTGTTAGGTATCACGAAGAAGTTGATTGTGACCACTGACCGAAGACTTTCTATAACTGAAGACAGTTTTAAAGTTAAAGTATTTTATCCCGCACTGGACACGGCATTGTTTGAGCTTAAAGAAAGGTTTAAAGGTCTTAAAACAATAAGTGATGAGTTTTCTTTTTTAAAACCAATAAATCTTACTACAATAGAGGAACAAATTATAATTAAAGCGTCCTACGATTTACACATAAAGTATAAGAATGAGTTAAGTTCAGATATTACAAATCAACTTTTGTGTTTAAAAAATTTTCTTTGTGTTAAAAACTCAACATCTGTGTTGCATGATATTAAAGACCTAATAGTTTATTTAATAGAACATGACTTGGCATCGTCTTTTCATGACGTTTTTACGCTGTGTTTAATTTTTCTGACTATTCCAGTTACAGTCGCTTCTGCTGAACGTTCTTTTTCTAAGCTTAAGCTCATAAAAAATTATCTTAGAAACTCAATTTCACAAGACAGACTGACGAACATTGCAATTCTCAATATTGAAAGAGAAAAAACCTCAGAACTTTAAATTAACAAAATTATAAACGACTTCGCAAATTTTTTATGATCAAAAGTATTTCAAATAAAATAAAATAAAATTATGTTAGTTATATAATATTATGCATTATTAAATATTTGTATATTACCTAATACCTACTATTTAATAAGTACCTAATTAAAAAGTGTTTCTAGTGATAAATGTAAAATGATTTTATTTTGTGGTGATCATTACAACATGAGTAATATATTTTGTGTTTTTTATTTAATGTTATTCTATAAACGTATCATACTTTTATAGTATTTAAATGATTAAATGTACCTACATTTATAAAATTTATATATATTTATATACCTACATTTTAAAAATACCTAGGTACCTAAAAAAATTTACAAGATGTGATTAATTTATAAATGTTTATATAAATGTTGCTAGGTTGCTTACAAGTAAGTAATGGGTAAACAATAAATATAACCTAATCATTAATAAGGATAAATCATATTTTATCACTGGTTATTTTTTATTTTTTTGGAGGGCCCATTTTAGTCTTTGCACACGGGCCTCCAATGGCCTATTTACGCCACTGAATTTCATCATGCTTTTAGTGCATATTTGAGGTTTTTCGTAATATACTAATATATTATGAGGGATGGGCCGATACCTCTTTTTACCGATATCCGATATATGCAACCGATAAAAAACCGATACCCGATATATTTGAAAACAAACATTTTCAGCATAAACAATGAACCGATATTAAAAGATCACCGATACTATTATCATTTTATATTTAACTATTACAATTTTTAATCAATATAGTATTATGCTGATAGATTTGGTTTTTTTTTTGGTATTGGTTCAAATATCGGTTTAAAAAAAAAAACCGATACCGATAAACCCGATACCACCAATATCGAGTATAGGTTTTAATATCGGCCCATCCCTAAATTTATTATTTATTATTAACGGACTCGACTGGCGTAATTAATAGTTCAAAATTTTCCGACGGGGCGGCGGCGGAAATAGCCGGTTTCCATCCGTGGTGGCGGGAAGTGTGGGGTTCTTCTAAAAATGTCTAGACAAGAAGAACTAACTACATCAGACCTACCATATTTCAAATATGCTCCTTTCTCATCTACTTAAGATTCAAAATGTTGCTATCGGATAACATAAGAATATTTACTTTTAATAATTTAATAAAAACGTTGATTATCCAGTGCAATGTCCAATTACTATTAGGTATGTTTTAATCAAAGTTTTAGGTTTATTTTTGAGTATGTATATTGTATACGGTATACGTAAATACGTTAGATTTTATTGTATACAATAAATATTATCAAAATGTTCAGTATATTCAAATTAAAAAAGGTGCTCTACTTTACAATAGGTTACAAGTGGGTCACTGTATAATGGATGGTATTAAATTTGAATTCAATGATATAATATCATTGTATAAGAAAAAAGATTCTGAGCTTAGACAGTATAAGAAGCATAAAAGACATATTATATACTTATAAATTCCAAATTAATCATATCACAATATCCATTAGGTACTTATAACGCGTAATACATCGACAAAAAACCCTGATACTATCATATATATATAATAGTGTACTTTAGAAGTTTCAAGTACCCACGAATAATTTATACAATCACAACAAAATAACTAAATAACTTATTCTAGGTTTTTTATTATGTAATTTCGTCCAAATTTGAACTTAAAATTACTATAAAAGTAAACTGTGCTTCTGTATTTTTTAGATTTTTTGGTAACAGAATTAACTACTTACGTAGAATTTTGTTTTAAATTTTCAATCCTTAGATATAAAATTTGAACATTTATAAATTTTTAACTACAAAATAATTATTCAATTTTAAATTTGATACATTTTGTCTTTAAATACTTATAAAAAAAAATTGTGCCTATGTATTTTAAATATTTTTCAACTGATATTGTAACAATATATCAGGAGCTTTGTATTAAATTTTTACAGTTTTTGGCCTAACAGATAAAACTTTATTGATATTTATAGAAAAAAAAACTAAAATAAAGCCGGCCAAGTGCGAGTCGGACTCGCGCACGAAGGGTTCCGTACCATTATCTAAAATTATGTCTGTTGTCGTTTGCGGGGTGGTACAATTCTGTATTGAAATTTATAAACGAATCTTTGTATACGACGTCACTCATGCCAACCATTTATTAACAATACGACGTCACTCGTGGTAACTATTTATAAACAAAAATTTCCATCTGAAATCTCAAAATTCCCGTTTTAGCACCCCGAGGGGTTGCTCCTATCCCTTTTTTTTAGTATTTGTTGTTATAGCATTCACGGAAATACATAATATGTGAAAATTTCAACTTTCTAACTTTCATGGTTCATGAGATACAGCCTGGCGACCGACGGACGGACAGCCGAGCGAAAGTAATAGGCTTCCGTAGGGAAACGTACGGAACCCTAAAATTTGAAAACTGAAAATGTTCGTCAACAGCTCAAAAAGAGTCAAAATATTTTCAAAATTATATGGTGTATAGGAAATGCTAATATAAACATTCAGTGAAATTTTCATGTAGCTTATTCGTTTTTTAATTACAACAAAAGAAAGAAATCGCTACATGAGAAAACGAGTGAATATCCAATGTCGTAAAAATATGAAATTCAAACGCTCATAAAAATTAAATTTGACTTTCTTACTTTTTTTGATAATGGTAGATAATCTTAGAAGGAATATTGTATTACATTTTAAAATCTTAGATTTAAAAAGAAAATTTTTTATGAATTTCTAACTCAAAATAATTTTATAGGTTTATATATAGGTCTAGGTATCCTCAATTTATTCAGAATTTTCAAATAGGTATTTCAAAAATCACACTGATAAAGTGATAACATTCATAATTTGACTAAACCTCTTTTAACAAAAAAATATAGAGATTGCCTATATATTACTCCTAATATTTTAAATATTTTTAAATTAATATTATTCCTGAATATTATTTTCCCGTGTAAATATATTCCTAGTATTTAAATTCCCGTCGATTATTTTCTGGCTTAATATTTTCCTGATTTTTATTTTCCCCTGTAATATTTTCCTTTGTAGTAATTTCCTACTTAATTGGTTTCCTGATTTTTGAATTCTTGTATATTATTTTCCTTCTTTATATTTTCATTAATTTTAACTTCCTAAGCATAATTTTCCCCTAAAATATTTTCCTGATTTATATTTTCCAGATAATATTTGTTCCTGTCATAAAAGCATTCCTGACAAATATTTTCCTGAATTTAATTATTCCTGACGACAATTTTCCCGAAAATTATGCGCCACCCGCTGAGGAGTTTTCATTAAGTTGAGATTGGTGTTCTGGACTGCTGGAAGTGTAGGGTGGCTGTGGTTGAGAGTTGTAGCTTGAGATGTTGGTAGTATCTATGAATATAATAATATATTAATATGTATAAAAGTTTCAATTTTAACGCCCATAAAAACGAGTGTCTATCAAATACAATTACCGATCGGTGTTTACAGAGAAATAACAATACACTGAAATTTATCCACGGCAAAATAAACATAATAACTGTAAGTAAAATAACTAAAATAACTTGAAAATAAAATCGAGCTAATTAGGCAATAGCTTAGAAAAGTGTACACCTAAGAGAACATAAGGTTTACTAATGCCCGTTTTACTGTTGGTACCCAATCTAACGAATGATGGGTGCTCATATTATAGATTATCTCGATGACCTACAATTTTTCGATAAGCTCAATTCTGTTGTCACGATTACCTCTGCAGTTTAATACTGTGATATATTATTTTAAGACAATATTCGAATCATCAAGACAAAAAATATAAGTACGTCTGCCAAAGAAAACTTGAAGCTTAAAGCATATTGTAAAAGCAATGTACGATTGAAGACAAACCAATTTCCTGTAACGTGAATTTTCACTTAAAAAAGCTGAGGTTGAAAAAGAACAATTTCTGTGAATAGAATGGTTAGTCCATACTATTTATCGAAGAGAGAGTGAAAAAGACAGAGTGAGAAGACGATGAAACCTTACACATTACATTTTGTTTTCAGGCAGTATTTATATTATCTATTAATTTGTCTTATGGACTACAAAATTGTTTTAAAATAATACAGGTATCGCAGTGTTACCTGTGCAAGTCGCAATAACAAAACCGAGTTAACTGAAAAATTGTGTAGTTAGTCGCTATAACCGATAAGTACTGGAATATAAAAATAAAAAATACCATAACAATTTATATGTATCGACGACACGATTGAATAAACTACTATATATTATTATATTATACAATAATAAAAAATTGACAAAATATTGTGTATACATTTTATATACCTATTATATCAATATATATAAAATGTAGAATAGGTTCGTTTGATATAAATATAGGAAATAGGAATAGAGAAAATCTAATGCAGTATTTGAGCATATCCGTGAAGTAGACATAATTCGAGCACCTGCAGTTTAGGTATATGCACACATCACTCGTTCAGCAGTACCTACCCAGGTATGTTGATATCCTATTTTGCGTACCGTGTACGATAACGTTCGTCTCACCGTGAAAATTCACCAAGGCAATAACACGACATTATATTAAATAATGTATATGCAAATAAACTTTAGATGGGTAGCAACTAGCAGAAGAGCTCAACTAGTCTTGTCGGTGTGAAGTTGAACAGATGATAATACTATGGGTACTTACCTTAAAATCGATCATTTTTAGAATTTCGAAACGTTTGTTCAGACCAGCTAAATCTAGCTTTTTTCTAAAAATGTAATTCGTTATTTTACATGCTTGCACAAATAAATTATTATATTTATCGAAATATTTTTCGAAACAATTTCAAAGTAAATTCATTAGTCTCCGTTGATGGCAATTCAAATGGTGTTGATGCTCCATAACGTGGAAGAGGCGGCGGTGGAGGCAAGGAAAACAGAGCCGGAGCCGGTGATATAAAATATAAAAGCGGCCAAGTGTGAGTGGGACTCACCCATGAAGGGTTCCATAGCAG